TAACTTAAACTAAACTTAAATTTAATTAGTACATGAGAAGAGGAGGACGAAGAATACCTAACTAACTTAAGAAAACTAAATAAGTAATTTAGTAGTATATATATATATATATATATATATATATATATATAATTAATTTTAAACTTAATGAAAAACATTTATTGGAAACATTTTGTGCCTTATAGATTTCACTTATTAACAGCACTGATTAAAGAATTATCTGATTTTTAATAAAATTGTCTTTAGATAGCTGCAGTTTCCTTATTAAAATAAGTTGCTAACCTGTTTAAGTTTCTTCTTTTTTTCCTTCTCTGATAAAGTACTGTCATTAACAATTTTTTCCAAAAGGCTGGTCAAAGCTTGCTTTAGAACAGAAACCTTTTGCTCTTCAAACTGCTGTACTGAAACCTGTTCACAATAAGTAAGGGAAGATGGGTCTTCAACTGTGTATTTGATCTGTAACAAAGGCACAGACAATTGCACATGTCAGGAGTTGCAAAGAAAAGCACAGCATGCAACCTTTACCAAAGCAAGCAGCTTTCCCCTGAAAGCTTGAACTCTCTTGTTAGCTTTTAATTATGCATTACTGACTACAAGTTAGTTTTAAACTATAATAAAGAAGCATTATAACCCCACAGCTAAGATGCAGAATGACAGAATTTTACATAACAGACTAAGTTTTAAACAGCAAAAAGCCCTGCTTTTTAAACCTTCTAGCACTCAACTCTTACATAAAAAATAGAATCTGTCCAGAATTTTGTTCTTCAAGACCTTATACCAAATACTGTTGAGTTTTCCATTAATGTTTTAATACATTCTTAAAGCTTTTACATTAACCAATTCAAATGTGATATCCATTCTGTGTTAAATTACCTCAAAATACTTTAATCTCAATCAAACTCCTATTCTATTATGTGTGTCAAAAAATAATTGATGAAACTAAAACATTTGTAAAATACTTACACAAACACTATGAGTTAATGTATCTGGTGAGGCTACAGGATAGTTTTCTTCAAAGAAATACCCCTAATTTCAAGGGTTAGAAAGAAGCCCAAAATGTCTGGACAAGTGAAAGATTGGGTGAGAAGTTAATCAAGGAAACAACTTATTTGTTAACCAAAAAGAAGAAGAAAAAATTAAATTCCATGGTTGTGGAACCTAACTGATCCCTGGACCAATAATATATTGTTGCCATCATGTCAAAATTATGTAAATCAAACTTTTTCATGATGTGGGAACTGCTCTCAAAATATGTTGCTCTATATTCTGCTAAAATGAAGCATGTTTTCCCAGTTAGAAATTGTACATTTGTCAAATTATCAAAACAATGTAGTTTACATGACCACATTTTTGTAGTTTCAAAACCATGTGCATTTGAATGTGTACAACTGGACTTTAGATATGATAGTAATAACATCTGTCTTGAATCACAATCAAGTTTAATAAAATAAACGTGTTACAATAAAAAAATACAAGAAATAGATAAAAAAAAGTTGTTTCAAGCTCCCACACACTGTTACCAATTAGTAAAACTGTAAAAGAAGTTATTGGATGTTTCAAGATACCCGTCTTTCACGTAGCACAACTCAATGAAGTAACTGAAATTAAAGCACTGGAGTCAATCTACATAAGTTAAAATGAGACCCGTGAAAATTTGAAAAGGAAAATATTTTATCTGTAAGAAATAACTCAAAAATTGGTGAAGCACTAGAAGCCAATAGGACAAACATCTGTACTAATAATGGACAAATTATGAGTAGTGTGGAGAAAAAATGTACAGTTTACTTGATTTCTGTTTTATTATTACTGTTACCACCAATGAACAACCACTTAGGGCACAGTATTTCTAATCATGTTGCCAAATGGTGAGAGTCTAGCCATCTACCCAATTTGGTGTTTAAAAAGTAAATTTTGATGATGTTTTTTTAAGTATATGGACCATCAGCAGTAGCGTGTATTAGACTTTATCAATCCAGGTGATTGTGGCTTAGATACACAAACTTCCAGATAAATCAAGCATTTAACTCTTGTGAAATAGTTGAAATTTGTTTTGATATTTAAAAAAATAAAATAACAGAAAATTCATACATACTTACTTACATTTAATACATGAAATAGTTGCTTATGAAAAAGTTACAGTTAACTGTAGAGAAGAAGAAGGTTGTTGTAAGTAGCAGTTCCAAATTACAACCATCACATAACCATGAAACTATAAAGACTATAGCTTTTAATGTAGTAAGTGTATCTTTACAAAATTTGGCAAATTTTTAGTAAATGTTACAAATCTTTCGTACACAAAAAAATTAATTTTTGAAAAGGTATTCTTACTAAAGATTTGTCTGTGAACATATGGAGTTGTAGTATGACTCGGAATAGTCTCAGTGCAAGGTGATTGTCATTTTAAGATAAAAAAAATGCTTTTTTTTTCATCTTACAATTTCAAATTTCATTTGCACAACCACTAGAATCTCCAAAACCAAATGCTTTTTTTTCCCAGTAAAACTTAATATTTTATCTGTTATTTTCTCTACCCTAACATTAAAGAGACTCAATTTGTTTTCCTGACCTTGTAACCACCACAACAAAAAATAAAATAAATCTAAATTATCCTTTTTTTCTTTCTAGAATTACTGCAGATTGTAACAAAATATAGCAATTACTTATCCTAAACAGGATCAATCTTGTAAGAGTTTAAATATTTTTATTTTATTGTTTTATTGCTCCTTGAACATCGTAACTACTCAACATGCATAACAAAGCTATAAGCATCCCACAAATAAACAGCTCACGTTACAGTAAAATAAAGTCATGAATTACATAAAGCACATTAAGCTCTTGTACATACCTCACTGAGAAACTACTTAGTTACTTAATCGTTTTTCAAGTTGTTTTCTTATCGAACCTTAAGGGTTACTAATTCTGAAATTTTAAAAACTCAATAAAAGTTAGTTTTAGTACTTTACTGAGTTTTATATTTGAAATATTCAATTAGGAACACAAAATAATAATAAGCAAAATTTCCTATAACTAGTATAATTCAAGTGACTTTCTGACCAAGTTATAAGTGCATTGAAATATTTCCCCTATGTGGCTGAAGTGAACTTGGTGATAGCTACTTAGGATCTGTATGTCAAATAATTCAAAAGTTGTTGTTAGAACAAACTAGTATACCACATAATTCAGTAAATTAAAATCTTCTCTTTCTATTGGTTATAAATAATGTACTAGCAAATGTCAAAGAAAATTACTGACAATGTTTTGAAAGAGATATGTGATAGTAGTGCATGACATGTGAGTTTGACATTGTGATCCATATCTTTGTAAATCAAGATGATTGGAGGCTATAAAATTAGATTATGTCTCAGCATCTTTACTAATATCTTTCTGATTCTTTGTAGCTTCACAAATGCAGCTGCTGTATTTTGCTCTTTCGTTCTTAAAAAACATTATTCCCCTTCTTTTTATCATTTCCAGTGTTCAGCTTCTAATTTTGGAGTAGGTGTAAATTATATTGCTCAGTTACTAGTTTAGCTGTTTGGTCCAATGTGAATCAGTTTTTACCATCTTTGTTTTTGCTGCCGGATGCCTTTTATTTGTAAGTACCTGTAGTAGATAAAAATTTTAACACTAGCTTAGCTACTTTAGATAACTGTTAACCTTCACAAATCTAGGCTATCTGTTTGGAAGAATGACATTTCCAAGCCTCTTTTCCTCTTTTCTATTACATTACATGTGTAATGATGCTAGATGATTTTCATTAATCCTAGAATGTTCCAGCTCCATAACTTGCACCACATTCTATATTCAGCCAAGTTATACAGCATAACTGCCAGGTCCATGTTGGGGATAAGTGCAGCTACCTTTATGCCATGTCTACAGCTTCAGTCCATTCACCTTCTTTGAGTCTCGACATATGTATTTTGAGCACAACATGCAGGTTGTTAGATGGACAAGATGAAAGCAAATCCCAGTGACTGGAACATATTATCAATAAGTGGTGTTCTTCAGCTGCTGACATTAATAATTGTCCCAAAGCATCTTTACTGTCCTACCTCATTATATTAAAAATAATAACCTTTGGGCTTTGGGATAGCAGGTAAGACTGGTTGTGACAGACCCAGCACTTGCATCACTAATACCCAGAAAATGTAATCATTAAGTCTATAGACAAGGATATTAACCTGTGGGTCTACTATAGACCTTTCAAATTATCTTTGGTTTTAATTTAATTTTCAGGGCACTTAATAAGATATCCAGTGACCATCTATGGAATAAATATTTTTTTCTTCCTTTTTTAACACCTTGAATATGATTTAGTACCTGAAATAGATTACATCTTTTGGTAGAACTTTATAATCAGCTTGACACTTTCTAAAAGTTTGTGCACAGTTCTGAGTTTGTAAGTGTCCTTAGGAAGCATGTTGAAAGAACGAAATAGCAAAAATGAGAGTATTTCTCTTTGTATGGTGCCAATGCACTGCTCGTAATTCTCAGCAATAATTTTTCTGTTTGGAATTTTCTTTAAATCAATTCTTAAAATGGGGGAAGAGATCATCAATTTTATTGACATATCTTGAACAAACTTCCCTTTCAATGTAATTATTCACAATTCCCTTCCTTGTCTTTTAAAGATTTTGAAATAGGTGATAAATGCAAAGAATGAAACTTCCAAAACACAAAACAGATACAAACTGCTGCAACTATGAAATGATTTCATTTACATACCCTAGTATTAGGATTATAGTAAACTTGAACCCCCCCCCTCAACCTAAGAACAAAAGACTAGACTAAACGAAAACCAAATATAGACTACATTAAGTTTCTTTTATACACAATACTCATTAAAAGATAATGTTAAGCAGCAATAGGGCAGTGATAAACATTTCAAACATTTAACACTGCTGAATAATAACAGAGGAACAAAATATGAAATCATAAGAAAACATACTTATGGAAACTTCCACCTCATATTAAATTGTTTTTCTTTAAAAAATGCTGAGATGCTAATTATCTGTAGCTGGTAGGTTGGTTTCAACCACAAGAGTGAGAAAGTAATATTCAGCTGTTGCATGAAATGTAAAACAAATATTTATATAAAAAAAAATCATTGAAAAACAAAAACTTCAGTTCTTATCTCTATGTGCACTAGAGGACTTAACTTCTTTTAACAATCATATTTCTATAATTCTTAGTTCAGGTCTAACTATTTTGTGACATTTCTTGTTCATTGAAAAATTACACGTCACATTATTATTGTCCTGGGCATAACTGTTATTTATTTACAAATATATATTAATGTAAGTGAATTGAACAATAAATTCAAAGAGTGATGTGGTAAGTAAAAAAAAAAGAGAGAGACCAACTTTAATTAAACAGAATGCAAGATGATTCCCTGCTTGTAATCTTTTGCTGTTTTTTTTATTATTATTATTATGAAAATGAAACTTATATGATGCACTTTTTACTTCATCTATATATGATGGATTAAAAATAGAACTGTTTATTTCTCATATTTATGTTGCTTCTCTTTCAGCTGAAAAAACAAGTTTTATTCCAAGACAAAACATTTCACTATAAATATATATATATTGTGCTTTATAGCCCATAGGCTAAAAAATCCTTGAAGGAAGTTACTGTTAATCCTAGGAAGAAATGTATAAAGTTGACACCAGAGACATGATCTGAAGATTTTCAAGATCTCTACAACAGGAAGATCTTTATGTAGTGATTGTCCTGTGTGAAGTCTTAAAATGTAGAGGTAAACAACAAATTTTGCTTTTGTAAAGATTTATCTAAGAAATGTCAGCTTATGGCAACAAACAAAAATTCACTTAAATCATAATCTATAAATGCAGGACATAAAATTATTCATAGATACAAAAGGTTTTGCAACAATGTAATATTTATGTTTAAAAAAAAGTATGAATGAGTTGTACCAAATATAAATATACTTTGTTCACTCTGTAAACATTTTTTTTACTACTGTGTGTGTGTGTGTCTTCTTCCATAGGTTTATTTCAGATATATATTTTATATATATGCTCATATTTCTTCCAGTTATCCCAAAAGTAAAAAAAAAAGGTATTTACATTTCCAACAATGCTATATCAGAAGAAAATAATTGTCATATAAAGTGTCATCTTTTCAACCCTGTTGCTATGGGCTCAGTCAATTTGATTGAGTTTGTAACTATAATGACTAGAATTTCCACAATATAATTGTTAATATATTTTGTGTATCTTCATGAAATATGGCAAGCTATCAGTATTTGTTTGTTTGTTATGAATTTTGCGCAAAGCTACACAAGGGCTATCTGCACTAGCCGTTCCTAATTTAACAGTGTAAGACAAGAGGGAAGGCAGCTAGTTATCACCACCCACCGCCAACTTTTGGGCTACTCTTTTACCAATGAATAGTGGGATTGACCGTCACATTACAATGCCCCAAGGCTGAAAGGACAAGCATGTTTGGTGTGATGGGGATTCGAACACGCGACCTGCAGATTCATGGTTGAGCGCCCTAACCACCTGGCCAGCTATCAGTAAACAAGTCTTTTGCACACAAGAAAAACTACAATTGTTTATCTTAAATAGCTTAAAGCTCATAACAATATACATCTATTTATTTTTACATTTTATTGTTTTATTGCCCTTTGACCAATGTCTAACTAATAATCCCCTTATAAATGTTGTAAATAACTTGGCAAATGCATAGCTGAAGTTACCATACTGAATTATGTAACACTCGAGCTGCTCACAAGAATACCTCATGAAGAATTTTTAATACTATTATATTTCATTATCTTACTTTATCTAACCTAATAAGTTTCTAATTTTTACATTTTGGTTACTTTTATAATAATAAATAAAGAATATATATGAAAAACAAGAAATATGGTACTTACTTGTGTCCTTTTGTTTTTTCTGTCAACTGTTGATGAAAGTTAACTACTATTTTTTTTATACTAATGGTACTAGTACACTGAATAGTTTTTACTTAATTACAAAGTGCACCTAAGAACACAGAATAGTAACACATACAAAGCAAACAATATCCTATTACTGTCATAACTTACCTGGCTTTCTAACTACGTGATAAGAGACTAAAAACTTAGCTAATCTTGTTAACATGAATACTGCAAGAGAAATTTTCAAACTGGAGGCAAAACAGACAATACTCTGTACAGAAAACAACATAATATGTCACTTGATATGTTAAAAAATCTTACTGGTTACAAATAATATATCATAAAACATCAGAGAGTTCTATTGGCAATTTGTGAAAGAGAAGATGTGATAGGTGGGTGTGGCAAGTGGGTCTGATTTTCTAGTTTATGGCTTTGTAAACAAATAAGATTGAAGGCTATAAAAATAATGCTTTTCCATAGTAATATTATTATTATAACTAGCATATAGCCCTTCAAAAATGACAGGGCAAGTACTACCACCCATACCCCATAGTATACCCTAACCTCACATTTTATAACTGAGTGAAATAAATAAAAAGAAAAGTGTAGCTGATTAAAGAGGTTTGTTTTTTAATTAAAAACGTTGGTGATATGACAGAAAATAGCTTAATTCAGAAACAATTTAAGCTTAAAACTGAATCGATATTTTTACTTTCCTAATAAATTTTATGATCCTACACTAACACTACGTCTTTACTTTAGGCTTATTATACCAACACTCAATACACTTATAAGGTTTCATGGCACTCCTTCCTCACGGCCCCCCTCGCACTCCATCACTAAAATTGTAATGGGCAGACAATAATCGAACTATTCTATTTGGATAAATGCATTTTAGCTTTTATGACTCCTCCTATTTTGAGAAATCAAGCGTGACGTGACACACACTGGGTTTTATATAGATTAGATGAGTAATTTAGATAAAATTCCATATTTCTCAAAAACGTTAGTAAATAAATTAGAGAAGAGGGAAGACCTAGAGAGCAAATGTCACAATTTTCATAGTATAAAAGATTGAGGATTTTTAAAAAATATTTCCTTATAAAATTAAGAACTTAAAACTTACATAATATTAAAATTCGATTCATTAACTATTTCTTGATGCCAAGTTTATTCATATACAATGATATTAAAGTAGTCTGATTAAATTTTGAAAGTAACCCTCTAAAAGGTTGTGAAATGTGCACTTTAACCTACCCATAAAGTGGGTTAATACAAGTATCTAAAACCACAATTCTACACTGACTTTTCTTACAAACCATTATTACAAAAATAACCCTACCCGCCCTTGACGTACAACAGTCAAACGATTTTCAACTGCTTCACGTAGATCTGATGATGGTTGAAAGATATTCTCACAGTTATCCATTAGAAATGCTACAAGATGAAGAGCAAGAAGTTCATCATAATCTGCTTCTTTTTCTGAGCACAGGATGGACCTTACAAATGTTTTCAGCATCTATTAAGAAAAATATTGAAATTAGCTAATACTTAGTTTACAATTTTTGGTTGTTTATGTTTGTAAAATTTTGTACAAAGCTATATGAGGGCTATCTGCATTAGCCATTCCTAATTTTGAAGTGATAGCCTAGAGCTAGTCAACACCACCCACCACTATCTCTTGGACTACTCTTTACAAATAGGCTGAAAGGGTGAGCATGTTTGATGATGGGTTTTTATCGCACAACCCAGAGATCATGACTACCGAGTCATGTCGGGCCCTCACGTATATTGGAATGAGTAAAGTATTTTAACCTATAACAGAAGCCTATAATTCTATATGATACAGTTCACCAATATAAATAGATTTGTTTTAATTTTCACATGATTGCAAATACTATTTCAAAATTTGCATTTACAAGGTTAATGAATTTTGCAACTAAAGAATTGCACTTTCAGTTCCGTGGTAATCTTTATGATCATACTGATAGTGCAGCTAAGGGTTTCTGATTGGTTCCCTACCTTAGCTAAACTTTCTTTTTGTTTTCAGAAAAATTAGAGTTGGATGTTTGTCTTGTCTTTTAAACAGTTATCAGAGTTATGCAGCTGATACTTTTACTATATTCAAAAACCTATATTATGTTCCTTAGTTTTTGAACTATTTCAACAGTAAAGACAGAAGTATTAAATTTACTATTGAACATCAGTATAATCCTAAAACTCAAGTATGTAGGTTAACACGTGATTGTGATGGTATATTTGTTGTTTACCTTAAGAAAACATTTAATGGCTTTTATTTTAATTTGACAAGTTATATACCAATTGTGTTCAAAGAAAATCTAGTGATGATTTTAGTTCATGATGAATATAGAATCTCAAATACTAATGATTTTTTGCACAAAGAATTGTGCTACATTATAAATTTCGTATGCAAAATTGAATTAATTTCCTATTTATCAGATTGACTGAATAACAAACTAGTAAGTTTTTGGTGTATGAAATACCTAAATGCTCAGTTCATATAATCTTGTCATATACTGGAAAGTATTTTTTATATGTTACAAACAACTATAACCCTACTTCATAGAGCATATCTACATGTACAACTGCAACACAATTTAAACCTGGATGTCATCTGCAGTATTTCTTCAGTTATGAAGATTGTAAGTTATTTTAAGATCTTAGCAAAGGCAATTGATAAATATATCCTCATTCATAAACTGAGTTCAAAACTCAATCAGGTTAGTTCAGCTTGAAAACTTTCACTTACCTTATAACAACATACTAAACTCTTGATTAAAAAAATATGTTGTGGATTTTTCTCACACAATGAAGCATCACTCCTTCAACTAACAAGTTTTTGGAAGTACATGTTCTAGTTATATTCAAGCTTTACCAGTAGTGTGATCATTTGAAATGGATTTGATTTCTTGCAGGCAAACAAAACTGAGAGGCAATTGCTTGGGTACTTTTAACTTGTTCTTGTTTACACAGGGATGAGGTGAACCAGCCTTTTACTTAAGTTTGTCAAACCAAACAAGCAAATTCTCTGCTTGCTAAAGGATGTTGTGTTCAACTGCTCTATGTTTTTCTTATTATATAATTTTTTTTCACTCTTATTATGAGTACACCTCTAAAGTCTTCAGTTATTTTGAGACTTTCCAATCAAAATCAACCCTACTCACCGTATTGTGACATTTCATGATAGAAGTACTGTGATACAAGTTATCAAAATTATTGATGCACCTGTAATGTAAAGCCTACCTCTATGTTTATTACTTTTGATTGAACATCTGCCATTGCACTTTAAGGAATTTGTGCATTCCAAGTTGTTCAGATACATATCTTCAGTTGGTCAGCTGCACCACAATCAGCCACTTCCAAGTAGCGTTTGTTTGTTTGTTATGGATTTCGCACAAAGCTACACAAGGGCTATCTGCACTAGCCATCTCTAATTTAGCAGTGTAAGACTAGAAGGAAGGCAGCTAGTCATCACCACCCACCGCCAACTCTTGGGCTACTCTTTTATCAATAAATAGTGAGATTGACTATCACATTATAACACCCCTACGGTTAAAAGGGCAAGCATGTTTGGTGGGATGGGGATTCAAACCCACGACCCACAGATTGCAAGTCGAGTGCTCTAACCTCCTGGCCATGCCGGGCCTTTCAAAATAGCCTCAGATATTGATCTTGGTTTAACTAACTGAGCCTACTAATTCAAGTATTTTGTCTCTTGCCCCAGCACCACTTGACATTTTTCTCACCAGGTTTGAATGAATTTGGTGAATAGACAATTTGTCCAATGAAATGGTGGATGTATGCAAAGTGGCAACTAATTTTAATCTATGTTTACATGGTATTTCTGCACAAATGCTATCCACACAGCATTAAGATTGTCTGAAACAAACAAATCATGAAACTAATGCAAAAATCAAGTGTAACATAACTTACTAAACTTCTTGTTGATAAGTCAGGATGGAGTTTTAACTTGTCATTCCTAACAACTTTATTGATCATCCGAAGTAAAAGATGCAGATGTCTACGGCTGGACGATGGAAAGAGTAGAGTTAACAACTGGTATGTGTTTGTTAACTCCTGTACTGCTGAAGGACTCACAACTAAAAAGAAACATATTATCTTTGAAAAGAATATTTAATATTTCTAAATAAATTTAAAAAAGTAATTTAGACCATACTGAAGCTGTAGTACTTTTGTCGAAACTAATAGCCTGGACTTTTATAACCATTAATAAAAGGATTTTGGCAAAGTTAGTTTCACTTTTTAACCCAACTAAAAGGGCAATACAAAATATTCATATACTGTAGGAATAAGATATAAAGCAGGGAAATTGTGTTAGAAAATTACCAAAACTAAATAATAAAAACTACCTACCATATTCTAATCACATCATAGCTATTGACACAAGTTTTTCAATTAAGTAAAAACATCAACTTAAAATGTTCTAAGTGATATCCTACACAAAACTATCCACAATCACATAAACATATTTGTGTTAAGAAACTTTGGTATTTTAAATTATATAGTTTTTTTATTTAAAATTTACTTTGTGGTAATATTGTATTAATAAGTGAACAACTCTCTAGTACGGTTTCTAAAATTGGAAAAATCTGCTATTTTAAGTGCACTTATTCCTTGTTTTGGATATTCACACAAGTAAAACTACATAAGTCATTCCTTAATTTCAAATTTGTTGAATAAAGCTAGTCAACAGTACCCACATTGCTAACTCTTAACTCTTGGGCTACTCTATACTGATAGACATACTTTTCTAGTATTTTTTTTAAGTTAACTGATTTAAAATGTTCACATACTAGTTGACAGGAATTTTGAATGGCTTATACATATCAACAAAACACCCAATTTATATTTGTCTGACATAGAAACATTTATACAACAGGTATCAAATCTATAATGTTGTTTCTCTATGCAATAATATCACAGTAAAAGTAAATTATTTTGCATCATCTTTAACATCAACAACATATCAACTCCAAACATTTTGAAAAGCCATAGAATAATCATAAAATTGATTAAAAAAGAATGATCTCATACTGATCTTTTAACATATAAACAAATAAAAATATATGAAATGCATATTTATGATTTTAAATTCACAAAAAAAAATATAGAAGAAAATAGTAACTATACAAAATCACCAGTAATTTAAGCAAAGTCTAACTGGTTTATCATTTTTAGCCTTTAAGTAGCCTTTGTTAAAAAGTCAGTAATATAATTTCATTTCTCTGATATTAAGTGCTAGTTCTGCTGATAGATTATGACACCATTTATTTTAAAGCTTAGAGAGTGACATATACTTAGTATTTGGACATAAAAAACTCAGTTCTGAGAAAACAAAATAAATCTATTAAAATGCCATGCATGTGAAGGGTGTAGCTCCTAATGAGCAACGTAATTCAACCGGGATAACTTGTGGAATGTATGGAAACTTACTGATTACCAACCACTATAAATATGGCAGAATCTGCATGATTTAATGAAATAAATGTATGGTCATTTTTACCTCTTTCATTCAACCAAACAAAAAAGTTTAATTTTTTTTCTCTGATGATTAAAGAAATCACGAAGAATTAAATAGCAAAAAAATGTGAAATCCTCATTTTTGGTAAAGTTCAAGGTGTATGGAAAAAAAACCCATTAAAATTACTAATTAGCACATCAGAATTTCTCATCCATAGAGTTATGCATTACACAATCTATTGGCAGTCTGTTTCTAGTAAAAACTTGATATTTCAATAAGTTGCCTTACCATCAAAACTAGGTTTTGAAGTCATATTGCCACTGGTACTGTACATTGTCAATGACAACTTGAGAATTAGTTACATTTTAAGATATTATTACTATTAAACTTGATCATATTAGGAAGATTTTTAAACAATTCCGTTAAACTACAAGTGACCTTTATTATTCTTGAAAGTATCTATAATTGACAGAAATAATTATTTGATTCATAATATGCTTAACTCAAGATACGAGTTACTTATTCCAATTAAATAGTGCTTCAAAGAAAAACATAGTGTAAAAGTTCTCCATAAAAAAAGGACAAATATTTCACTGTTAGATCATCCATTACAAGAAAATTTATTACATTAAATTATTTTGAACATTCAGTTTCATGAAGTTGCTAGTAAGAGAAAGTGAAAACTATGTTCAGAAGTATTTATTAAATGTGTCACTTGAATTTTGGTCAGTATGAATCTATATAGCATTCACAACCAGGTGAGACCAAAACTACTTATGATTATAAAGCAGTATCAATTTTAATAGGTTATGCTTGCCTCTACTTACTACTTTGGTCACTTGAATTTTGGTCAGTATGAATCTATATAGCATTCACAACCAGGTGAGACCAAAACTACTTATGATTATAATGCAGTATCAATTTTAATAGGTTATGCTTGCCTCTACTTACTATAATACATTTTAAATAATGTTTCAAAAAATTATTGATTTTTATATGGTAATTGGCATTTTTTTTATATGGCTTTTGGAATGGCATTTGGGAGACATGAATTTTAATAGGAATTAGAGAAATTAAGCAGTAACCTTCAAATAAGATACAGACTGAGATTTTTTTGTTTTTTAAATACTCATTAAACCATGGTTTCAGTAGCTTACTGCTACTCAATCTTGTGCGAGTTATATCAAATTTTTTACACCATTTTAAAGATGAAACTGATCTATTATGTTATTTTTAACCACATGATTTTCTTAGAGAAATCTGATGGTTTGGAGAAAAACGTGTCTTAGAAGATAAAATGATATTGAATTAAACATATTTGTTGGCAGTAATGAACTGAACTAAGACAAGTTGAAAATACAGACTTTACAGCATTCAAGTCTACTGCAAGATATATTAAGATACAAAAAAAACAACAACAAAATAGGTAAAAGATGTAAATGAATTGACAAAAAAAAGGTTAAATTTATTTGTTTATATTATATGCACATGTACCCCTTAGTCTAAATTTTAGCTCAAATACCTTCATGTACTTGTTATGCAGTATAAGCACAAAAGTTTTTAAAATGCATTTGTTACAAAAATTCCAAAACAAAAGACTCCATTACAAAACTCTGAAAGATCAGATGTACAAAAACTATGACTCTAAAACTATTTTTATCTGTGTTTTAAACCTAGTTGATTTTTAGATTAGTCTTCATAACTTTTAAATAAGTAAATAAACGTTAATCAGAGAATTAAAATTGATTACTGTAATTAAGAAAGTGAAAAGCAGTTAGCAATCAGCAACAAACACAGGAAATATCAGCATAAGAGGAAAGAAAGAGCCAAAGCCAAGGTAGTTACCAGAAAAATTAATGGAGGTAACAGAAGAACCTGGTGCATCAGGGCGATGAGGAAAACGCAAAGATTGATAACATTTCTTATTACCAAATGGTTCAATTTCTTGATCCTGACTATTTCTGCAAACACCGTGATTTTCCATTTCAGAAGCCTTAGCATTTAACCTTTTACAATTCTGTACATTGATACCAGAAACATCTATTGGATTAATTTTTCTAATGCTTGACTGACACCAATGAGGCTGGATTATCATCTCATAGGATTTCTTGTTTGTGTCTGCTAGACTAGAGTTCCTGTTATTTTGTAAAACCAAAGTGCCAAATTCTCTATTCTTATCCTGTCTTTCTATTCCCTCCTTCAGATTTCTAGAATTACAAGAACTTGGGACACTGCATGCTGAATCATTTACTGGCAAGTTAAACTCTTCATTAAATGCTTTCTCATTACTAGATTCAAACTTGCATCTTTGCATCCATCCATCTTTATTTCTTCTTAAATAGCCAGAGTCTTGAATTATTTGTGAATCAATATTACTTTTGGATGAACTTGATGAGAAAGTACTACCTCCTGTTGTAAATCTATCTACACTGTTATTAATATGTTTATCAGTCCAGGAAGAGTAACTTAATACTTCTTGTGTAGGTTGACAGATGTCAGAATTTTTCAAGCTGATTTCTTCTAAGGTATATGACCTAGCTGTACAATATGAGCAACAACTTGAATGTGCATTAGAAAAATTATCATTTGTTTCATCATTTGGTGGAGTTGGGTTTGGAGAATGATATCCCACTGAACCACAAAGGGGCTTATCCATTCTACTATAGCTTAACTCGCGTTTATTTAACTCTTGATTCTTCCTTTGCCCATATTCACGCTTCAAATGTCTCATGCTGCCAAATCCTCTGATATAGGAGGCTTCACCAGTTCTTAAACTTGGCTGACGGGGTAAAGTCACCAGTCCACAAGCAAAGCCGTAGCTTTTTTTCTTTTCACCTTCTTGAGGAAAGTGGTCTAAATCATCAGCTGAGTGACACCTTGACGTTCCTTGTAATTCACTCAGAATAGGCTCTCTGGAAGGCCCAATTTGCTCATTATCAAATTTATTTAGTTCAAAAGCAGAATGTGTTAGAAATGGTTTTGTTTGCCATATAGGAGAAGACCATTCTCTCTTGGGACCACTGCTTATACTTTCTGGTATGTAACTGCAAGCACTAATTGTACTTTGAGTATCTGGGTGATTGGTGGACTGACTTCCCATAGTGTGAATGCTTGACTGTGAGCCATATTGCTGAGTTAAGGCCTTGTGAGAAACCACTCGAGTAACTGGAGTCGCTGTGCTAAAAGCAGTTTCAAAATATACTTGTGATGATAAGTTATTTTCAGGCTGCCCACTCCCTGCAAAATTTCCACAAGGTTTAGCATTATCTGCATTTTTGTAGACTACTTGACTTGCATTCTGGTATCCTACCATATTTAAAGTATTTGTTTGAGTAATGGGAGTAGAGGTTTTCTGTTCATTTCCATAATTGGATTCCAGCTGATTTAATGTCAAGTGATGCAACAAGTTTTCAATAGAGCTAAATGAGGACAATCCACCAGGCTGAAAGTTTCCACCTCCTAGTGGTACTATGGCAGACTCTTGTTTCTGTTCATGAAGAAATTCAGACTCTTCTAAAAGAGAAACAAAATAAATTATTGCATATCACACATAACATCTATAACACATAATTGAAGTAAATGAAATAACTTAGCTGGCTAATAACTTATAAATCACACAACAATGTCAGTCACAATGGAAAATGAAAGAGAAACATTGTGAGCTATATGTAGATTAGGAATTTGCTTGGAACAAAAATGTAGTAACCATAGTGATATTCTTTTTTAAAGATTAATTTAAATACAAATTTCTGACACAGAACAAATTATATATCGTATAAGCTATTTTCAAACAGCATGTTGTTTTTTTGGGTGAGGGGGTGGGATAAGCTGTCAAACATTTCAAATATGTTTAAATGCAATAATTTTTATGATGGCAGTGACCCGTAAGATATAGGATTAAGTAATGTTCTGAAGTATACCAGTTCTGCTATTTCTTCTTTTTAAATTTCTAATATGTTAGATGTAAGTAATTGGATAACAGTAAATTTGGAGTTTATGTATATGTAATTATTATTTTTTATAACAACAGTGGTATACTTAGCAAATTGTCTTACACTAAACTCAATTTTCAAGGTATTTTAGTTCAAAGTTGTTGTTGTTCTTTTGTAGACTTTTTGATGAATGCTGTTCTTCAGGTCTAACAGCAGACTGTTGAAAGCTTAAGGAGGTACAAGAATAAGAGTTGTAAATTATTGTTTGAAACTTTCAACAGTCTGCTTTAAGGTCTGAAGAATGGCAACAAGGTAACCCAAAATGTCATTTAATAATAACAGATTTTACTGGCTATTCATGATGTTATTTTTTTTCATTCGTGCCTGGCTATCGATGAAGCAGTTTCATTCAATTTTTTAACACCACTATGTATCAAAATATTAGTTCACCTGTTTCTTATTTAAAACTTAAGCACTTTTGACACTTTATGAATTAATTTACTGCTAAAAAATCATGAAATAAATGTATATGGTCAGTAACAAAATGCATTCTCTATATTTAAATGTCATTAACAAGTATGTAACTAAAGTTCTAATAAAATGTTTTAAAGTGTATGAAAAGCTCTTATTATAATAATAATTTTTTTAAAATTCTTTACATAAGATAAATGGTGCTAAAAATATCAACATCGTAAAGACAGTTATAGTTCTTTTCTTAAGGTATTAAAAAATGATGCATTTAAAAATACGAATAATAAAAAGATAGATCAAGATATCAAAATGTATATAGAATGAGCCATGCTTCATTTTATTATTCAAGATCATTTGAGAAATGTTAACACCTGCTACACCTACTGATGAATATAACATGATTAAAAATCAATAAATAGTGAAATGTTAACTAAAAAAAAACAACAAAAAAACTACATCACAAACTATGGTGCATAATCATTTTCCTCTTTATCTTGTGATAAGGATGACTGTAAAGTTAAAAAAATACCACAGTGGAATGTTGAAAATAAACAGTCCAGCACTTAAGTAAAAAATTAAAGAGTATAAATTAATCAATGGTTCCAGGTTTAGAATATCTTTCAAAACAAGATCTTACACAAAGGAGTTTCAAAATTTACAAGTATACAAGAATATCTCAACATCATACAAACGAGGAAACATAGACTATAAAATGACAAATTTTAAAAAAAAGACAAATATACTTCACAAAAAAACTAGGATACACTTCAAGTTATAAAACATTCTTTATTGAAACAAACAAAAAAAACTAAATCACATTTTATCACTTTATTTATTAACTTACTGAAGATCACAACAAAAATGTCATATAAAGTGAATGGAATAAGAGGCACTCCTAAGTTATTGAAGTAATCTCTAACGACTCTAAACACATCCAGCTCAAAACCAGGGTAATTAGGAAGACAACTACTGCTCCCAGATGCATGTGGCCCTAGGAAGAACAAAATAAACCAAATTCTTAAAATATCTTAAAAGATATCCATTATATTATCTATTAAATAGCAAATTTGATTAAACATTTTGGTGTTATAAAACTTATAAATATGTAAATGCATAAATATTAAAGCCAAAGAAGAAAGCTTTCTGGTAATAGTTTTTAACTCAGGACAATAACAAAGCAAAGTAAACACTGTAAAACAAAAATTAAATGATCATTACCTGAAGGTTAGATGCCATAAGTTAAAAAGAAAATTAACAAATCCCCACCCTACCTCAACTTCTCAATATTCAATGCGATTCAAGTTTTTTGAGAACACCCTACTATTTCACTAAAGAATATTTAATCATAACAATAAATGCACACTTGTTTCTTACTCTAACAATATATACAATTATTAATGTTCATTGCTTTGACAAAGTGTATCGTATCAAATAGGAACAATAATCTAAACTATTATTTTACAAAAGTTTGTATGTGTACAATGCGAACACGTGTGGTATCTCTGCTTATAATGAAAAATTGCCTGACTAATTGTCATGAAAGTAGTGTGTACCCTCCGAGACCCTTATGTCTTTCCCGTGCATTGAATGAGTAAGTCAGCTAGTAATAAATAAGTAACAAAATATACACACTGCAGTTACACTTTTTGATTAAGCCATGTAAGGTAATTTTCCTTTCGCCAAAGTTTTTGAAATGAAATAATAAACAGTGATTGCTTCTCTGGTTCGGATTTTTAAATATAAAATTATCTAATATCTGAGATAATTATACCTTCTGTAGATTATTAAGTGCTCTAATCATAAGCTTATGTGCTCTCTATATAAATACCAACTTCTGAATCAAGCAATCGACACTTTTATGGATTTCCTCTATGCAAAGCAACTACTCAAGAGTGCATTTTTTGTACCTGTAAATTGTACACTGTGATCTCATTTATTTTGCCAAAATGTACAGTCTTTCCAAAAGATTCCATTTTTTTAACACAAAACCTTTTAACTCAGGATTATATTGTGTATTAAAATATGTTTATCTTTCAAATATCTGATTAAAAAAAAGCATTCCTGCCTAGGATCTAGTATGGGCAAAGCATGTTGTTTGAAAGTTTTAAGATGGACAATATTTACTCTCTTTTTGGGGGTGAGGACCTCAGCACAGAAATAAGACTGTTTTCAGCTTCTTAGACTAAAAGAGATACAGTTCATACAAGATTCAATGCCAGTAAAATACCCATTTAGTTTCAGTTTAAAACTATTACATTTTTATAAGGAGTGATAATAATAATTTATTCCAGGAAGAATTGCATATTTGTTTCTTTCAGATGTTTGCAAAAAGCTATTAAAAGACTACCTGTGCTAGAAATATCTAATTTTCAACTGATAAACTAGCATAAAGGAAGATGGATAACAGTACCCAACACTAATTCTTGGGTGGGCTCCTCTAAATTAAATAGTGAGATCCATCCATCACTCTTGTAACACATCCATGGTCCCAAAGTGCAGGCTATGATTTTGCAACAAAGGGGATTCAAACCAAGGACCTTCAGGCAGACTAATCATTTGACCATGCCCAGCCCCAAATATAATACTAATTTTCACTAACCAGCATGTGGATTCCTTTTACTTAATCATGTTTATATTATATATACTGCATTTATAAACCATCTGAAGTATTAAAGTAGCTACTTACAATTTGCTAAACACTTCATTGCTGACATTACCCAGTAAGGCAGGTCATCTGGGCAAAAACAAAACTCATTTCAACATTTTGATTAATCATCAAAATTAAGTAACATATTTTATGATCTTAACTATAGTTGTGAAATTCATAATTGTTATTCTGTTATTATTGAACATCTATATCTTTGGATTTTGTTGCAACAGATAAATTCCTTCCGTTTCTTTCTAAAAATGATACAACCAGTGAAGGAATTTACAGATATAACTCTAAAGGTTAATATTTTATCAACTTCAGCCATTATTTCTCAACATTTAGAAAAGAAATTAAAAAATCAAATTGTTTAACACAAAAACCTTTTTATTATTTAGTGCTGTAAATGAAAGTTCTAAGTTGTTTTTTTGTAATTATCAGAAGGAATGCACTCTATCTTGTATGAAACCAGTAGAGCACATATTCCTTTAGAAGCATTCACCATAACTTTTATTTGAAAGTTAATATATTTTACTACACACATCTGTTAAAACACTTCGACAAAAATATATTTACCACTAGGTGGTGCCAGTGTTCTCCTTTTAAAAAACACTATCAATTGTTTTTTGAAACCAGTAACAGCTTAAATACTAACAATGCAAAAATAATTGAAGCAGGACAGTCATATTTATTCTGTGAAGAATAAAGCTTTTAAATTATATCTCTGTACACAAAAAAGGAAAAGATCAAGTCCAAAATTTATACATCTTTCACACAGTAATGAACATGTACATTTAACCACAATGAATGAAAAATACTTCAATATCACTCACAAGAAAGTTAATTTCTTTATGAAATATTTTTAAAACTTATAACTGTATAATGGAGAAAAATAGTAGCAACTTGAATAGTTTCACTGTTACTAGAGAACAGATAATGTAGTCTACGAGAGGCATCCAGAGTTTTCAGTGCTCTGGTGCTAGCTATAAGTGAGAACTTTGTTTCAAGTCACTTTCACAGAAACAATTATAAGTGCTACAATTTTTGTGGTATTGGATGAGGATCTATGACAGGCCAAGTTATAGATCAAATGACTTAATAAGACAAATCAAAGAAATACCTGTGAAAAAACGTCATTAAGTAATACATAAGATATTAATTGTGGCTAAAAATATCACTGACAGTGAGGGTATCCAACTAATGAAACACTGTAGTATAGTCTTCATAAGTAAGAATGTAACAACAGTACATTTAATTAGCTATACTCTTTACTGCAGTGACTTTTAGTTCTATAAAACTAGTTTGTTTTGACCAGAAGTTAATTTCAAGTACCTCAAAATCCTATCTGGAGGTATCTACAATTGAGAGAGAGAGAGAGAGAAAGAAATGAATGATAATGAAACATTTACTGACAATGTCAAAACTAAAATCTCTATGGCAAATGAAAGAGAAATTAGTTAGAGATCAAACTTCTTGTACAAACAGTTCATTACTAGTTCTGTTATCAGTCTTATTGTAATGTAATATCACACAAACTACCAATCTATAGATTGAACTTCACTATATGTTTGGTTTGTCTGGAATTTTTTGCAAAGTGACATACAAGGACTATCTGCATTAGCCATCCCTCATTTAGCAGTGTCCAATAAAAGGAAGGCAGCTAGTCAATACTACCCAACACCAACTTTTGGGTTACTATTTTAATAAAGAATAATGGGACTAATCATAATATTATAACACCCACATGGCCGGTGACAGGGATTCAAACCCTCAGGTTGCAAATCCAGCACCCTAAACACCAGACCTATACCATATGAGTGATGATTTTTTTTTAAATCCAAATGTTATTTATTTTGTTTTGCTTGTAATATTCAGCAATGTGTGGTTGTAAAAATATTTATTTGTGATCCTAATGAAGAAAAGTAAGCTTTAGCCACTACCACAATACATTTTCATGTCACCACTGACCATTTAAACACTGTACTCAGGTAATTTACTATTAATATAATAACTTATTCACAGAAAAATATACCAAACACAAGATATATTGAATAAATAATGTAATACTGAAAAGTGAACCTCACCTGTTTTATCTGTTAAGACAACAACTCCATTACGACTTATTCGACACATGTTATGCATGATAACTCTTCCACTAATTTCTTGAACATTTAGAAAATCATCTAAATCATGTTCTGGTATTAAATCCTGCAACCTGAAAACATTTTCATAAAATGAATGAGGATACAACAATTAAACTTAACTACCACAGCAAAATATGCTATATGCAACAAAATAGCCCTAATAAAAGTAAAAATTTGACCAAAAGAGCTGGTAGTATGAAATTGTGAAAGGCCCTGGGTTACTAATGGCTGTCAGTCACTTGAAAAACCGCCAAGTTGGTAGATGAGAAATCCATGTGCATTTAAAAGTTTTAGTAGCGTGACTAAGAATTTCTTCATAATTATAAATATATTAGTAGGAGAAGAGCTAAATGTGGTTTACAGTCTAACACAACAAGCTTGATTATGTTCTTATTATTTGGTTAATTAAACAAATAAATACACTTTAAATTACCATTAAGGTTTAGCTTCAGCTTTTTTTACCACAGTATTATTTATGGAGGGCTAATATACAGCTATTGACTTCAGTTTTCAAAAACTGGATGTTCATCAGAAATTTGAATATTAAGAAGTTATTACCTTTCTAGAGTTAATGTTGCCCACACTCTTTCAATTTCTTGCATTGATAATGACCTAGCAACAAAACAGCATTCTGGCAACTGGTTCTTGTCCTTTTCCTGTTCACAGCTTGCTGATTTCTGTTTCTTTGCCATATTTGAGACAATACTGAAGTTTTCATAATTTTCTCTTTGAGGTGAATGCCAAAAGTTTGGAATATATGTTGCCATTTTGAATGTTTCTTTTTCATGTTGTTCATTGCAGTTTCTTGTAGACAGAGGAGTTCTATGAAACAATCTGTAAGAATGCTTTCTTGAAGGTGAGTGATAGACAAAGCTGAAAAGAAAAAAAACTTACTGGCAAAAGATAGTTGGATAAGACATTCCTATTATTATATTATCTCAAACTTATGAGTTCAAAGTTCTATTTTATTAAACTGGTGATCCAATATATAGCAAGAAAAGAAAATCAAACTGTTTTCACTGACTGATCACACTGAAGCTCTTATGAAATATCATATATCATTATACCTTTATAATTTTTTGAGCTATATAAAGATGGAAAAAAAAATTCTAGATTATAAAAACCAACATAAGTTTTTGTGCAATGCATTAAACTATCCACAATTTTTTTTATTTTTTTTAAATATGTAAGTTTAGTGACTATTTCCTAATCAACAGCATAGTATAGCTTAAGATTTAACATCTATTTAAATTAATGGCAATGAATTGTTTTACAATTTCTTCCTTTTGTTATTTCACAATCAGATATAAGGACAGAGCAAATGGACAAATGAGTGTGAAATATTTTGAATTCAATGCTGGGCATCAAAGGAGCACAGTATACTAGAGAGCATGCTCCTCATAAAAAGTTTGGGGCATTCTCTTGTCATTTTTCTTTCATATACTAAACACATTTGATTCCCTTTTGTAGCCAATTAGCCAAATTTGGTTAGCCATTCAAGAGTTCTGTGCATTTTTTAGTAGCTCTTTATGACAAGTGAAGTGGTTTATAAGTTTGTTGAAAAGATTTTCCTAGCAAATCAACATTTTTCAATGAACTTCCTCAATCTTTATTTCACTACTTCTGACTTACCTCCAACAACAAACAGAATTTCTAGTTCTCTCTCAAACAAGTCTCATCTGGATTTGTTTGTGAATGAAATTCTCACAGTTTACTTCATTATGTTATTCAATAACTTTTGCCATTTTTGAATTCATACCATTTTGAAATTAAACTAATATAAAATTTTCAATAAATATTTCTTGCAAAAAATTCACACCATAAACATGGTATTTTGTAAGATCAGGAAACATGCTAACTAGATTCTAATTGGTGGAAAATGGAGTTGGTTATATGCAAAATATTGAATTATAAAGAATATGTTGTTATGCAGGACTGAAATATGGTAGTGCTTATTTTGAAAATTCAACTTTGAGCATTTTATTTATTTGTTACAATGTTTTGCAATGGTAAAATAACTGCAACCCAAATTTCTCCCAGTATTGTTGTGAATCTCATGAACAACCCTCAACAATATTAGTCAAAAACCCACCAACAGATAAAAGAATTCTCAACTGTGTATGATTTTTATATAAACTGTTAAATTAACGAAAAAAATATCTACATTCATAAATATTTTTGAGTACAACAAATAACAAATATTACAGAATTTCACACTGGGTAACATACAACAATATTTACACGTACACATAAAAGACAGTATGGTAAAAAAAAATAACAGCAAGCACTCACTGATATAGTTTCCCATTATCTTGGAAATCATCTTTTTGACTGACTTTAGAACCTCTGACATCTTCAATAACACAAGTTTTTAGAAACTTCTGAAGCAGCTGAATTGTCTGTTGCCTTGCAGAATTAATGAAAAGAGAAAGAAAAATTGGTTTCAGCACCATAAACAGTTTATTGGGGGGGTAGGAATCTCAGAAATCAGCAATAACATTTTATTAAGCTTGAAACTGTACAATTTTCATTAAAACATTATTGACTGTCAAACCCATTAAAAACTATTTCTAAACTAAGTCTTTATTAATTATAATTCTTGATGCATAACAAGCATTATAACAGATTGACTTTGAATATTACTTTAAGTAACTAACTATCTTAGAGTTTACAGTGAAAAAAAAAGAGTAAAATGGCTGTCATATAGGTACATATCTAATGTGTATGTTAATGGCAAAATATATGAAATATTCAACATGAATTTTGTAAATGAAACTAAATATTATAATGATAAAAGAAGCATTTCAATCTATTACAGTAGAAGATATGTTTAAAGAAGTCCTATTTCTTATCAATAAATGAAAATTACTGATAAAATGTAATAATTATACATTACTAGCAGAAATGTAGCTGTTTGTACTGGTAATTATTAATCATAATGTTCATACCTATTCACAAAAACTGTTAAAAAAAGTGAATGTTTTCAAAAAAAAAAAGTATCCAAATTGTGCTCTTCAGTCACATGCAACTTATTGCATCAAAATGATTCAATGCTCAGAGTTTAAAATTTTCATAAATTTTACTGATATAAACTGTAATGTTTTTTATATATTAAAAGTACTATCCTTTATTGAAAAAATAAGTTTTTTTAAAAACTCAAGTTTTTAGTACATTTGAAAATTACTTCAATAAAGATATAATCAAACCCTCACATGTAGTACTAGTGAAAGTCGTGTTCTCGTTGTGTGGGAGAGCACTTTTATTTAAAATTGTGTTCTGTTATAAAGTTATGGTTGTCGCACCACAGTTATTTTTCAAATTGTCTGAATATTGAATACCCAAAATGTGAATTTTTTTAGGGATATTTGTTTCTGATGCCATTCAATAGATGGCGCCACATTTCACGTAGTTTTGGAAAAAACATAGATAGATATATTTAAATTTAATGTTGATTTTAAAATAAATGAAAGAGTATGATGAAATATTTATTTTAATAAAAACTATAGCAGTAGTATCTTGCTTTGAATGTATGTAGCCAACAACTTGGTAGTACATGCAAACAGTATACGAAATTACTTAACCGTCAGGATATGGGTAGATAAAAGCGTGACGTCATGATCTTTTTAAAGATCTACACTGAAAATTTAATTAAACTGCTTTATTATCAATATATGTCAATAAACTTGGCATCAAAATGTATTTAATAAATGAAATTCTAGTATTAAACAAGTTATAATTCCTTAATTTGAAAACAAAATACATAAATTCCCAATCCTCACTTTTCTGTATCACACAGTGTTTGTTTGTTCTGAACTGCACATTAGATAATCTTTCCACCCCCCAATAATTGTTTTATTAAATATAAATGAGACAGTTCAACCCGCTATGCTCTCCTATCACAAACTATCTTTCAGAAAGTGTCTATAATTATATTAATATAATGTTTATTATATCTTTATTTCTGACCGTTAGGAAGGAAAGATTTTAGTTTATTGACTTAAGTTAAATTCTAGCTCATTCTCATGCCAACTTTTGAGTTATTTAGCTTACAGATTCAAAATTATCCTAATTCAGCTCAATCAGCTAAGGGAATTATTTTAACACACTTATAGCTTAATTAGAAAACAGTTAATTATAATACTTACAAGGCATTGTATGCTTTGTGCATGTTATTATTTTGTGTTCTAAACTAATATTGAATAACAAAAAATTCAGTATAGTACAAAAAACGACCCTTGAAACAATTAATACAAGACTCCCAAATAAGTACTAAATTTGTTTTTATGCACATTTTATTCATTGTTATAAAAGTGACTAAAATATACAAATTAGAAATTTATTAGATTAGGTAAGAAAACATAAACAAAAAAATTAAATATTTCTCCATGAGGTATACATGTAACAGACTCATGTTTTATGCACTTCAGTACTGTAGTATGAGCTATGCATTCACCAGTTGATTTTTAGTTTGTTGTGCAGGTTTAGTGGTCATACACAGTTCAAAAAGCAGTTAAATAATAAAACTAAGTAAAAACAGATATAAACTGTTACAAGCCTCAGACTGTTGATGATAAAGAATCACAATTTTCTGTTATAATCTGCAGTTATTCTACAAAAAACAAAATGGTAATTTAGAATTATTTCATTTTTTTTGTGGTGGTCAAGTGGACTAAATCCACATAGTTTTAAGATATAGAAAATAAAGATAAAATATAGTTTTACTGAAAAAAAACAAACAAAAAAACTTTGATATTCATTTAGGAAAGTCTAGAGGTTATGTAGATGATATGTGAAAACTGTAAGATGGATAAAGGTATTTTTAACTTTTACATGAAAATCCCATTGCACTCAGACTAGTCAGTCACAAACTCTGTCTCCACAAATTCACAGACAACTCTTTAGTAAAAATACTTAATTAAAAAAAAAAATCTGAGTTTTTGTGACAAAATACTTGTCATTTTTACTAACAGCTTACCAAATTTTGTGAAAATATACTTACAACGTTATGTTATAGTATGTATAATTCATGATTATGTGGTAGTCGCAAGGTTAGTCAAAATAATCAAGTCCACGTAGAGATGGTTAAAGCAGCCCAATAATTCCTTATTAAGCCACCTAGAAATTTTCAACTGTTTCTTTTATAAAAAAAAAAATGTAATGATTGTACTTCTACCACAAAACATGTTTAGTGAAAGTTTCTATTAATTCCTATTATTAAGGTGTGCCTAAATAAAACATTATGTTTAATAATAGTTTAGATAAAATAAATATTACACGAAGAAAAAATGTTCTGCAAAATTGTAACTTGCAGAGATTTTCCCAGCAGGTGGCTTCACCTTGTTTGTTTGTTTAGAGATCTTCCCAGCAGGTGGCATCACCTTGTTTGTTTGTTTGAAGTTAAGTACAAAGCTACACAAAGTTTCTAGTGTTGCAAGTCATCCACAGACATACCGTGTGCCACTTGGGATGCATCACCTTGTAATGAAGTAAGATTGCAACAAGTTTAATTCTGATTGAGAGTTTAGATAATAGTTATAATAAACTACAGAATCTCTGCACAAAGTTCTAAGTGCTATGAACTCGTACAAAAAAATTTAACAGAAAACATGAGGTTGCCCAAGTAACTTTAGGGTCTCAGAGTCTTAGATGTCCCCAAACCTAAAAACATTTTTGCCTTGTTCTACTTAGCACTGCCAGCCCACAGCTGCAGGAATTTTAGGCAGATCTCTGAAACTACAATGGAAAAATTACTTTAGACAGATGTGACGTCCTTTTTAATTACTTCTTTTTGTCTAAAATGTTTTTTCACTTAAAAATTATAGGTGGTTACTTTGAAAATACCAGTTAAACATCAGTATTCTAAATTTTTATGATGAATCTATGTATACTTTAGAAATACACAATAAATACATGTACAAAGCTACAGGATAAGGTGGATGTAAAATGAATACGTATTTTTTAAATTTTTCTGTGTCAGGTGACACGATTTTTTAACTTCAAAAATGTCTAATTTCAATAATAGACTAATTAGGAATACAAGCTAAACATAATTAAAAGCAAGAATATAAAATCTGAACCTCCTATCTACCCAATTTATTGGGATATTGAGATATCAATAAATTTGTCAAACTCTCCAGTCTTTCTGATTTTCAATATTGCTTTCTAATCATTGTTAGAGAACTGATGGACAAGTTTATAACCAACAGAAAGGGCAGATTATCTAATTTACGAATCCCTCTCTCATTGTCTCAATTTTCCGTCTAGACTAATCGCTGTTAGATGTTTCTCATCCAATTAGCATCAGGATACTTCTCCGAACATGTAATGGAATTTGTTAACCTATTTATAGATATCTTAGAAAGCCGGATAAAGTATAGTGGTTCTGAAACATTTTATTCTAGTGACTGATAGTTTTGTGCATGTTCTAAGATGTATATTTGAAAGCTATATGAATTCTTTTTTAAAAATCCAAATTCATGAGAAACAACACAGGTTAGCAAACAATGCTACTCGGGTGCAAAAACTGCCTTCAGTTTGTGAGTACCAAACCTAGTTCCTCTGTATTTTTTAGTTATTCTTAAATATTTTTTTTTTACAAAAGTAACTAAGATGTAAATATTAGAAACTTTTTAACTTAGGTAACAAGACTTCATTAAAAATAACACATCGAAAATTTCACGAGCTCAGTAGATAGTGAACTTGGCTTGCTGAACTTGTGGTATGGGTAAAATGAACCTGTGTTTGCATTAGTACTATGGGAAAACAGTTAATAGGCTCCTGATAGGATTTATTCTTTGTCATGCACAGTAGTGGGTCCAAAGTATAGCAATAAAATAGATAAAAAAAAGATGTGAAAGAGTCATAAGCTGAGGCTGTTACGATACGTAATTTGAAATTAATGTTCATTTACCCAAATTGCAAGTAAAAGTTTAGTAGCTATTTACTGATTGTTTAATCTAGGCTTCGTTTGAAGGATTAGAAGCATTTTCTTCACCTGTAACAGTCTTGTTTTCAGCTTTACTGACTATTCTGAACATACTGGGGGTTGGTACTACATCACATTTACCTCAGAATGTTCAAGTTTAGGTAAATGGACTATATTTACTGCATATTGATGATTTCACCCAAGTTAGTGTTAGGGTAGAGAAAATATGGACTATATTTACTGCACATTGATGATTTCACTCAAGTTAGTTTTAGGGTAGAGAAAATAAGAGATACAATACAGAAAAAACCTTTGATATTCATTTAGGAGGTGCAAGAGGTTATGCAAATGAAAATGTAAGATGAAAAGAACTATTTTTATTCTTATCATGAAAATCTCCTCCTACTCAGACTCAGTTAAGGCTTTGGAGATTAACAGACAAATCTTCAGCAAAAATACTTTATCAACCCTATCACAATGGGCTCGTGTACTTTACAAGACCTTGTAACCTTGCGGGTATACACACCATGACTCTGAAAGTACGTAATGTATCTTCACAAAATATGGCAAGCTTTCAGTAAACTTGAAAACTCTTTTGTAGCCAAAAAAAATCAGAATTTTTAATTAAGTATTTTTAATAAAACTTTGTCCATAATTATATGGTGTCAGAGTGTTGACTGCTGTGAGTTGCTAAATGTCCATAATTATATGGTGTCAGAGTGTTGACTGTTGTGAGTTGCTAAATGTCCATAATTATATGGTGTCAGTGTTGACTGTTGTGAGTTGCTAAATGTCCATAATTATATGGTGTCAGAGTGTCGACTGCTGTGAGTTGCTAAATGTCCATAATTATATGGTGTCAGAGTGTTGACTGCTGTGAGTTGCTAAAGGACATTTAGCAACTCACAGCAGTCAACAGTCTGACACAATATAATTATGGACATTTTGCAACTCACAGCAGTCAACAGTCTGACACAATATAATTATGGACATTTAGCAACTCACAGCAGTCAACACTCTGACATCATATAATTATGGACATTTAGCAACTCACAGCAGTCAACACTCTGACACCATATAATTATGGACATTTAGCAACTCACAGCAGTCAACACTGACACCATATAATTATGAACATTTAGCAACTCACAGCAGTCAACACTCTGGCACCATAATTATATGGTGTCAGAGTGTTGACTGTTGTGAGTTGCTAAATGGTTTTCAGGTTAAGATAAAAATCACTTTTCTTCATCTGAAAATTTTCAGATTTTATTTGCGTAGTCTCTAAAACCTCCTAAATAAATACCATTTATTATTTTCTATACTATAACTCTATGCAGGATTGGTCAATTTGATCAATCTCATAACCACCATAAAAAAATATGAAATAATTCTAAATTAATCTTTTTCTTTGTGGAATGACTGAAAATTGTAAAAAACAAAACATCTATATGTACTTAATTTCATTGTTTTATTGCCCTTTGAACCATTTCTAACTAATAATCCTGCCACACAAGTTGTAACTCACTGGCAAACTTGTAGCTCACGTTATCCTATCAAATTATGTAACACATGAACTGCTTGCAGGTATAGTTCGTGAAGAATTTTGAATATTCTTTATCTTATCTAATCTAACTAAGTTTCAAATTTGTTTTCATTTTAGTTTCTTTTATAATAATAATAAAGAATACACATGAAAAACATAGTACTTACCTGGGTCTTCTTTTTCTTTGTTGTCGACTGTTGAAACTTAAGCCTTCTTTTTTTTTTTATGCTAATGGTACTATTACACTAAATAATCTATTTACTTAAATAATGCATCTAAGAACACAGAATACTAACATGTAAAAAGCATACAATATCCTTGACTATTTCAATTTTTCTGGCTTTCTAACTCTGTGATAAGAGCTATTAAAAATTCAGCTTAGCTTATCATGGGAATAAAGTTTGACCTAAAGGAAAACAAACAATTCTCTGTACAGAAAAAAACGTAATATAATATGTCACGTTACAGATTAAACTTTGGCTTTCCATTGGTTATGAATAACATAGTATAAAATGTCAGAAAATAGTATTGGCAATTTGTGAAAGAGAGGATGTATAGGTGAGCATGGCAAGTGGGTCCAATTTTCTACTTTATAGCTCTGTAAGCAAACAAGATTGAAGACTATAAAAATTATACTTTGCCTGAGTAACATATATATTATAATTTGTAACTTCCTTTAAATTCCCAACTTCTAGGAGGGGTTACCAATAAATAATTCAGAGAAGAGAGAAGACCTAGAAAGCAAATATCAGTTCTCAAAATGGGGGAGATTCAGGATTTTTTAAAATATTTCCTTATAAAATTAAGAACTTCAAACTTGAATAATATGAAAATTTGATTTATTAACTATGTTTTGATGCCAAGTTTATTCATACACATAAGCAATAAAGTAGTTTAATTAAATTTTGAATGTAACTCTTTAAAAGATTGTGACATGCACACTTTGACCTACCCAATGCAAAAGGGTTAAAAAGATCTGGCTTTCTGTATTCAACAGCCTTTTAAGGTATGCTAAAAACGTGCAAAATTCTGTGAAGTTACATTCAGTACATTCATAGTAACAGTAGTATAATTTCATAGTTACTAGGTCTGTCAAATACACCAAGCCTGTACATAGAGAGTTGAAGCAAAATAACCTTAATCACTTAAAAACATCAATTTGAAGGACATAAAAATAAATTTAATTGATTAAGATTCTGAATTTTGTGAAATGATTACCATTTACCTACACATTCTTGTCGTAACACAGGATTTTATTTTCTATATATTACACCTACATGTAGAACAAACAGCTCATTCCCAGTATTAAATAGAAAATATCAAGCAAGAAAACTTCAGTGTTTTATGAATACATACTTTAAACTAGTTTTCTGAAGGTAAATTTCATCTCATTAATGTAGTGTTAGACCAGAAAACAAAGAAACACAACTTGAAAAATGCTGAAAACATGTTCTTGTTTTGCATTTAGACATGCATAAATAATTTTCTATTTCATCATTATAGATTTCTTAAAAAAACAACAAAAAAAACATGATCTACAGTATTCAAGAATTGAAAATGGCATTAATACAAAAGTCACAATGATTTCCAGTTAAGTGTATGGAGTGAATTTACAGAAAGATGCCTATGTTTTCTAAGTGTAAGTCAAAATTTTTAGTGATCTCTCTCTCTATACCGAACTTAGTGCTTTTTCACACAGTGAAACATAACTTTCAATAAAACATTACCAAATAAGTCAGAAACACTGTTGTGGTGCACTATGCTAAAATATAAACTATCTGATAAAGACAAGCACAATGTCAGCCAAAATAAAATGAACAGTTTTACTGTTGCATATTTTGGATTAAACACCACATTTAATACATTTGTAGGAATCCCATTATTCATTGCAAGAGCTACAACTAGATGGTACGATGTTCAATCAGTATTTCCTAATGACCACTGGAACTGTAAAAATACTTAAAGTAAATTCAAGTACATGTATTTTGTTAAAATAATTTCACACTATCATAAACATTACAAACTCATAAAATGAAGTACATAAAGAGCTTATAATGTGTGTGTGTGTGTGTGTGTGTGTGTGTGTGTGTGAGAGAGAGAGAGAGAAACATTTGAACATAAAACAAGATAAGTTACTACACATTACCTTGTAACACCAGGGCCAAAGTTTGGACTATGTCTCAAATAGACAAGAAGCCAGTCTACAGCTTCTGAAGCAGTAAAACAGTTTTCATAAATTCGCATATAGTGACGATGACGTTTCAAAGGCATGCCACAACGAAAATCACTAATAATTTGGTTCCACTGAAACACAATGAAAAATACAGTACAGTCACCAATAAGAAATAAACATTTTTTAAACTATCTAATGAGAATATTCAACCAATCATTATCTTAAAACTTCACTCAAACCAACTATTAAACTCTCATTTCACTCTACAGATATAAATTTTTTGGTGAGAAAATATTCATGAAGATAACAAAATGACATTTAATTTACAAGCCAGACAAAGCTGTTGAACAATAAAGCAGTTTTGTTATGCAAACAAAATTTTAAGAAAAGAGAAATCTGATTAGATGTGACTCACAGAAAATATTTCTCCTTCAAAAAGAGCCTAGAATAAAGTGTTGTCTAGTATCTCTAAAGGTATAAGTGCAGGCAACAAAACCCTCAAGACCCTCACTGAACATGCCCAAGATTGAAATATGATGGGACATAGAAAGAGTGAGAAGAAGAATTGGAGAAAAGGATTGAACCCCTTTCCTGTCTGATAGAGTGTTGGGTATGAAGAACTGGTCTGAGAAGGTAGATAAAATGAGAAAGCAGTCTGTGGACAAACAGCACAAATCACTCTGACCGGTGAAGTCCATAGGTCAGCAGGCACGAAAAATAAACCTGCAGGTAAAGGGGATAGATGGCATATAAGAGTTAGGTCACAAACAGGTGTAGAGAAAGAACATGTAACCTAAATCTACCTGTTAGGTAAGTGAAGTAATTTGGGACTAATTTCCCATAACAATGTGAGAAATTGGGGGAGTAGTGGGGACTCAAAAGTATGTAGTTGTGATAATCGATTGGTAGTCGATAAGGCCACCATACACAATGGCAATTGTGGAAGATGCAAAAAACCTCAATTCCTGTCAAAGAGCCAAGTCAAAAAATGAGTTATGGTTGACACCACTGATTGAAAAGGATTCAACCTCCTCTCAATATAACACTGCCGATATGTATGTCATTACCTTTGAGAAAAGTGACTTTCGGACTAAGCAGAAACTGAGCCAGATACATGTCAACCTTAAAATTAAACCCCAATGCTGCATGAAAGACAGCATAACCTCTACGCCAGAAGCTTGAGCTTCTGGATAGCCAGGTGCACCATATTCAATCATGGCTGCCTCCACAGAGAGAGCCTAAAAAGAAGTGGAAGAATTAGACACACCGGAAGGGACTGCAAAAGCAGAAACCCGGGTGTAGTCACCAACAGGACATGACAATGAATTGGAAGAAATCATATTTCGCTCCCTGGGTAACATATGAAGTGGAGAGAAGGTTGAGTGGTAATCCCATCCTGTCCAGATGGGAAGCATCTATTGCCAAGGCCCAAAGATGAGGTACTGGAGACCAAATTGCCAGTAGTTGGGTGATCCAATGAGAGGCTAACCCACCAAGTAGAGTTACAAAAGGAGAGGCAATCCAACTGAATCTTGCAATGCAACATCTATTCTGTCAGGAGACTCTGTTTGTATTGAGACAAAGGACCTGCTACCACAAGAATCACCTGTGGAACATGGCAACCTAGAAGGGTGATAAGATAAGACTAGTCCCTAGAAAGGAGGCCCTAGACTATATACCTCTTTTATGAGAAACATAAGATACCATCGCAGAATAGTCAAAGTGAAACCTGACGATTTAACCATTAAGAAGCCAAGACCATGAGACCTTGCCTGTTGAAGAGCAAGAAAGATGAAAACATTGTGTAGGGAATCCTCATTATCTGTGCATATACTGGAAATCCTGATTGTTGGTGTATGTATCCAATCCCTGAAGTGAAGCATTCATAAAGAGAATGGAACTCTGGACGAGTGGGCAGTAGAGGAACCCAATTTGTATTACCATCCCGACTAAGAATACTGGGAAAACTAGGAAATAGATGCGTACAATCCCTGATTGCTTAAAGACCAATAAAAGGGTGGCTTATGTTCTCATCCCAAAGGCATGAAGGATTCAAGTGATGCCTACATTCCCAGAAGAGAGAGAACTATCTGTGCAGTTGAGAAGGAGAGGTGAGTAAGAGTGCGGCATTCTATTCTAAAGCATTAAGCAGGATGAGAGACAGCTGAACCCTACTGAAAGATGAGATGAAAAATAACATAATAGCTAGACTGATGAAATATTGATATTGGAGCAAGAATACATGTCACAGTCTTGAAAGAGAAGCCTACCTGGGTTGTATTTGAAAGTAGAAGCAGGTTGTGATGCTTAACAATTGACGAGATGTTGCCAGCAGTAACAAGTCATCTGTGGAATGGTGTGCGCACAATATGATGGAATGAAGAAGATGAGAAAACTCATATGCTACAGCAGAACCCGTGTCAAGCCTATGCGAGACCAAAGGAAAAAAAAAAGCAACTCAGAACTGCAGTACCCGACTCTTGTGCACCACAAATGCTGATAGTGGTAAGACTCCACAGCTAAGGCAAAGTGGAGATAGGAGCCAGCTATAACCATGTTGGACATCTGCAATCCCAGGAAAAAATCAACACACACACATTCATGAATGAGTAGCTTGTGAACCTTGCAGAATCTAGACATCGATATAGACAAGAAAGATTGATGACTGGACACCAATCTCCTGTCTTCGTAAGCCCAACAATTAACAGGAATAAAAACTCTGAAGAACTAGCCTGACTCTCTCAATACCCCCAGAACTAAGTTCCAAGTCCCAATGAACTGCGGGAGATGGAAATCCTACTGGTTGGGTAGGTAATAGTGGGGAAAATTTGAACTGAATGACCAATTGTGACTCAAGGACCTGTAGAGCTTCTGGACCAAAGGATAAAATTACCACACATTCAAAAAATCTTGGAACCAAGCCCCCACAACATCTAAAGGTACACAGTAATCACCAACACTGCTGTGATCTGACTAAGCAGTGGAAATCTTGGATATAGACAAAATATATTCTTAATACCAATGTGCTGAGGAGCTGATGTCGGAAATCAGTACTCATGAATAGGGGCGGAACTATGACCCCCCCCCCCCCCCGAAGGAGACGATAAAATTTGAGACTCCAACAACAACCAGGAGAAATGTAAAGCCAAAAATTGAAACAATGTGCATGGTAACAATGGATCCAGCTCATCCTCAATGAAACTGGTGATCCTGAGAATCTTCTAACAAAGCGAAGTGGAAGGAAACAAAATATTGATGGTGAATTGTAAGTCCATAGATGTATTCTGTCCAATAAGGGGACATAGACCTATATAGGTAAACTACAAACTCCACCTTAGAATCCTGAATTTGAGGAGCAGTAATTATTTGAGAGTCAGAAAAATGCCTCCACTTGGTGGTGATAAGCAAAACCATGAAGTTCCAACAATGTTTCAGATAAGGCCTAGCTGTTCCTTTATGTAACTAAGAAGTAAACCTTCCACCATGAACCACAATTTCTATGTATGTAGAAAAAAATTAGCTCCCAGACATTTCAGCCATCAATTAAGTTGCATGCTCAAAAACAACTGGGAAAAAAGCCCAATATCTCACACACTTGAAGAACCAACAGAGGAAAAACAAATCAATTGAGTGTGCTATAAAAGATTGGAAGAAGCAAGAAAAAATCAGAACAATGCTTAGATGGGCAAAGATGAAACCCGGGCGGTTGAGTAATAGCTATAAGTGTGAGAAGAGGTATGCATGTTTTTGAATTAGGAACATTTTTAATAAGATCAATTAAAAAAAAAATCTTTCAACAATTTGTTTGAAGATTTCTTCCTTTACGACTGAAAACTTTCAAATGCTGTCACTTTATTTGACATTTGGTTGGAATACTTCCTTTGGATTGGAAGTTAATTTAGTTCAAAATGTGTTGTGATAGCAAAAGACTTCAAACTTATGGCTGAAGTGAATGATTAAATTAGGCAAGAATTTGTTTCTCTCTCACAACAGTTACATAATGTGATATATCAATCATGTATTAGCCACAAGATCAGTCCCCATTCTTATGTTTCATTCAACTAAACAACAGAAAAGAGATCAGGGTCTTTTATTTTTTGAATGGCACATTTATTGATAACTTTAACAATTTCAAGATTGTATGTTGTTTTAAAGTATATTCTCTGTAGTCACTACTATTTTTAACGTTAAACTGTCAACAATACTACACAATGACATCATCAACTTTACTGTACATAATCAGAATCGGAACGAGTGTATGTGCTATAATTATCAGCAATTGGTAATTTCCAATTGTGACATGATCAGTAAAACAGTAATATTATGATGTTGTTTTTATTTTTGGCTAGTGCAGTCTGCAGAGTTGGATTCAAAAGTGTTTGCCCTAACATGTACATTCAGCAAGGTAAATTCTCCAAACAACTTTCAAGTTTGCAATTTTTACTTGCCTGTTTTTGTGTGAGCTTGATACAGGCTTGATGTCATATATAATAAGTTAAAAAAGTAGCATTCTGATTAAAAACAGTCGTCAAATAAAAATTATATCTCAAATTTTATAAATGAAATTCTATATATCAATTCCATTACACTGATACAAAGAGTTTGAACATTCGACAAAGTTATGGTATTCTTATTAATGAAAGTGCATTTACTTTGAATACACAGTCATTCATAGTGACGATGTTTGTGGATTGTATATGACTGACGAGTGTTCGTAAATTTGGGAAGGTTCATTCATGGTTTGTCATAAGTTCTGCTCGTTTAAAAAACACTTAGATCAACTTATGTGGAGTCAAACATTTAATGGCTCTTTGATTTTATGGGGCCATACGGGCTACTTAGCAGACACTTTAAGGGCCTGCTGGGCTTTTGGGGGCCATTGCCTCCAGGCCCCTGCTAATTTCGAGCCATGAGTTATATAATTAAGGTTAACGTCAATGTTATTACCACATAAGGCTCACTTGTAAACCAAATGTAAATCAGAAACATGTTAAAACCATGATAACCCTGTATATATTAAATCTCACTTCCTAAAATGTAATTCCAAATTATTCTTGAAATGGATTCCCATACATTACCAATCACACAAGTCAAACTAACAAATTTACACACACACAAATATTTCCCAAATATTTTTTGACAACCATTCTGAAAAATGGGAAAACATCAGTAATATTTTAATGATCTAATATTTTTCAAGTATCCTGAGAATTTCAAAAGAACAGTTATAGCCACCACTAATTTCTTTCTAATAACCTTTAAACTATAACCCATAATATATAAATTACAGTAAAACAAATTAGGGAAAAATAAAATTTAAATTTCATTAATTAAGAATTTTGTCTGTTATAATCTTGTCATTCTCAAAACGTACACGATAAAAAAACTAGCCTGTGTTAAGCATTTAAACTATAATAATACAATATATTCAATACCTTCACCAACATTGCCATAAAAAAAAGAAAAAAGTTCACTCACCAGCTTTGTTGCCCTGTAGGGTGCACTATTGGTAGCAAGACTTGGTTTGCTCTCATTTCCATGTCTTTCTGGTTCCATTTCCCCACAAATACAGTACAGAATTTTTGCAATGTTATTTTAAGACTTAAAATGTAGCATTCATTTTGAGCAATTGGAAAATGTATTCAAATCTAATTTGAAAATCAGTAACTAAGATGTCTGACTAGAGAACACGGTCTTCCCAAAAATAAAGTGAGGAAGATCACTCCATTTGGCAAGGTTTCTAAAAGAAAAATTAAATGTTTAAAGCATCAGAAAAATATAATAGGGAACAAGAAGAAATGTACACACAAAAAAAGTTCAATCAGTTTTTCCAAACAAGTCAAAACAGATCTGTGTGCTTATAGGACAGGTGCTTCTTTCAACTGAGCTATCTCCAATCTTAAAAATTTTACTGATCTCAGTCTTCACTTCATTATGATTAAGTGTATAAAGATACATAATGGGCTATCTATGCTCTGCCCATCATGGGTATCATAACTCAATCTTTAGCATTATAACTTTTTCAGTCATTTTTTTACATCAAGTTTGTTCAGCTTTTACAGCATGGCTTCATGGTTTAAAGGTCTTGGGATCAAGTTCAGTTTCCATGCATTAAAAAACTATTATGCTATAATTATATTTCCAATCTCATTGCCCTAGCTATTCTTTATCTTTTTTCGGTTTCCTTAATCATCTCACTACTATGCAAATTTATTTTAGACTATCCTTAATGATTATTTTTATGGAACTTCTCCTAAGATTTAGCCTGCATATAATTTGTCTTTATCCTGAAATATTTCACACAGTTCCAACTTGCTCACCTGTTGCTCTAAGCCTATCCCTGGTAATATTTTATTTATTAAGCCCTTTGGATCCTAATTCATTCTCATATCTATTTCAAAGGAACACTTCTAAATTGGCTATATATATATCTCTATCTTTTTCTATAAATTCTAATAAACAGGTTCTGAGCTTTATGAACTGACTGCTATGGGTCAAACATTCTGCAAGATATCATCCTTAAAAGAATTGTGAGGTGCAGAGCTGGGCAATTATTGGTATTTGGTATTCAATCAACCATGGTATGCATTCCCCCATAAACACACCAAAAAGTAGTCTAAAAGTTGGTGTAGGTGCTGCCAACCAGTTGCTTTCCCTCTATTCAGCAGTTCAAAAGTAGGGACAGTGACAGATAGCCTTACTAGCTTTGCCACAACAAAGAAACAATTATAATGCTCTCCCAGCTGACAAAGAAAGATAAGCTTAATCACTATTATTTTAATGTTAAGTACTAGGAATAAAATGGATGTTTTCAAAGCTCTAGTTGAAATGGAAAACTATAACATAATAGGAATTACTAAAACTTCGTTAGATTTTCAAAGTACTGATAATACAAATTATTTTGAGTTTCCAGGTTATATGTTATTTAAAATTGATAAGACACTTTAAAAGATTGGTGGCTCTTTATATGAGATAAACTGAAGCCTTTTGTTATTAAAGACATAAAATGGTAGTCAAGAGACTGAATCTGTAATAAGGATTACATTCAAGTGTAGAGTTTTCAAAAGGCAAATGTTATGGACAACTGATCAGACAGATGAGAAACTGAGCAATAAGATCAGAGTTGTTCCTATTAAGGATACTGAAGCAATAAACATGGAAGTCTAACTGTAGATGTAGTTTTGGTTGGGACAGTATGAAGTCAAGTAGTGCAAGAGATATGTTCCTTGGAAGTGATTCAGGATGGTTTTCTACACCAAATGGTTATGGCCAACCAGATGAGAAGATACTGTTTTAGATCTACTGTTAACCACTAATGAGGATGTGGTTACTAGAAGTGAAGTAGGGAACATTTGGAGAAGTGATAATTGCATAATTAAGTTTGATGTTTTGTTACATATTGAGATAAGTATCAAAATTTTAGTTCCTAATGTTAAGAAAACCAATTCTGAGGCCATGTAACAAGATTCATCATTAGTAAGCTGGGATAATGAGCTAAAAGACAATGTACATTAGGTTTGGGAAATCTTCAAAAATACATTTCTATTAAGATAGGAGTATTCTTAAGATCAAAAAGATAACATGGAAGATCTAGTTTGCTTATTAAATATGTAAAGGAGAAAATAAAAAATAAATGACAAAAGTTTAAGAAGTTTTAAATTTTTTCCTCTGTTTTTAAAAGAAAGGATGTTTGCAATGTTTCTGACCCTGATGGAAATATTGGCATTGACCTGAACCATGTCATTAATACAAAGATTGCAAGGTTAAAAATAAAGAACTAGTACCAGAATGTTTTTCCAGAGATTTTTAAAGGTCAAAGATCAGATATGCTAGCATCTCTCATTTTTGGTTGGTCAAAAAACAGTTGGTGAGTGCTTGAGGTTGTTTATGTTACTCCTCTATTTTGAAAGGGTTGATAAGAATTGCCCTGGAAATTATAAACCAGATAGTCTTACCTCTGTAGAAGGAAAACTTCTAGTCTAAGAAAGGAAGCTTTATAAAATGATTTTATGAAATATGATAACATAATCAAAAGCAAACACAAATTCACCAAGGGAAAATCTTTTTTTTTGAAGATGCTACTCATTATCTAGAGAATGGAAAGTGTGTAGTCTTGATGTACTTAGAATTTCAAAAAGGTTCTGATAAGGTGCCCAACAAAAGATTATTTAAGAAAATCATATCAATAGAGTTGGGGAAAGACTAGTTAATTGTATTGTACAGTGGCTGGATGAAAGAAAGCAAAGTGTGTTATTAAAGGAGTACCTCAATGGAGAGTGCTTAAGCCTTTGCTTTTCATTATTTACATTAATGATATTGAAAGGGGAATAATTAGTAAAGATTGTGTATAACATTAAACTCTTGTGTATTTTTGGCTACACTAAGGATGGTGACACATTAATAACTTGGATCAACTGATAAATTGGAGAAATATTTGACATATGACCTTTAATTATAGTAAGTGCAAGATAAGGCATCTGGGTTATTATAATTTGGATCACTCGGGAACTCATTCAATAGCATGACAAAAAAATAATAATGGAAATGGTGATAGATAAGTCCAGACAACAAATCAACACTTTATTGCTAGTAACAAAGCTAACAGAATTTTAGGGTGTATTTATAAATACTGATTACAAGTCAAAAGAAGTAATTATCTTGATTCTCTAGTTAGATTTCACTTGGAATACTGTGCACAGTTTTGATCTTCTTATTTTACAAGGGATACTGATTTATTAGAAAGGCTCAGAAAAGGGCTACTAGTATATTTTCAGGAATGGAAAGGCATCTTAGGCAGATAGGTTGAGATATTAACATATTTATTTTTCTCTTAAACTCCTGTAAAGTGCTGGCCTCCACTACTGCCAAAGGTAACTCACTTCATAAATCAATCACACTGATTGATTATCTTGTAAACTCCTATAAGATAATTTCTTGTCCTTCTTTCTCAGGAGAAAGTAAGTTAATAGATCTTATAACTACAAAATAATCCTTCTATCTTAGGAATCATCTCAGTAGCCTTTCAATGAACCAATATTCTTTCTCAGATAAGAAAACTAAAACTGTACACGGTATTACAAATGAAGTCTAACTATTGATTTATACTGACTTATAAATACACCCTAAAATGATATTACCAACACCACTAGCAACAGATCACTGCTTCAATGGCTTGAGTGACTTGTTCACCATAATGCCAAGATCTTTTTTCTTTAGTCATACGATGCGAAAAGTGTGATCCAAATTATGCTAACCCAAATGCATTGCCTTGCACTTACTATAATTAAAGGTCACTTGCCAAATATGTGTACAACTCATCAAATTATCCAACTTCCAAGTCATTCCGTTATACTTCAACATCCTCAACATAGCTACTAGATACACCACAGAGTTTAATGTAATCAAACTTTACAAATTCATTAACCATGCCCATATCAATATCAGTTACATTAATAAATAAATAAATAACAAAACACAGGCCTAAGCACTGACACTCTGCTAATATGAAGGGTTTAGTTTGACTGGACTTCAATAATAACAACATTTTTTTCACATTGTTGAAGATATTCTCTTGAATAGCTAATTTTTTGAAAATCTAAGTACACTAAAACTAAAAGGGCTTATGAGAAATAACTGTTTGATATTATTAAAACTAAACTGCGAGGATTTTGTGAAAGAAAGCAAAATATTAAAATAGGGATTGGGCCCTCAAATGATCCTGATGTCAAGGTTCAATATGGAGACTTTGAGATAGCTGAGCTTTCAATTATTCACTTTTGTTTTTACAGTAGATATTAGTGCAATACACCTGACCCTGAGTATTCTATGGAAAAATACCAAAACAGACTTGAATCATGTACTTACTAAATTCATGGTGGTATGCATTTTAATGTATGTTCATTAATATGAGTATTGATTATATTTATTTTTTCATTAAAAAAACTGTTCCTTTCCTGAAGTATATTTCATTTCTGGCCATTTTCTGTCAGTAGTCCACCTGGATAGTTGTATTCAAAAGTCAAATCTGAAACTTGGATGTATTCAAATACTTTTAAATGTTCCAAGTTCATTCAATATGTTATTAACTTGACTTAGATTGATAACCTTTTAGTTTTATTAGAAAATGAAATGGAGCCTTTATATATATAGGAAATAGCATAACCTAGGTGTGAAAGTAAAGAAAAATCTATAACAATGTAAACAATGCTACCTGCTGATGCATCAGTGCAGGATAAATCATGCTTGAAAGTGGTAATCACTCTTACCAACTAGTCCCTTGTTTACAGAAGAACTTTTCTTGCTTTATCAAATATAATACTTCAGAAACCTGGGAAGTGAAATGTAAAGTTAAGTAAACCTCTGTAATTGAAAAATGTTAAACACACTTTTACTTTTAGAGATTTTTCTTATTTACTTTTATAATATATAAATGTAACTGAATTAATCTCGATTATCAATAATAATAATATTACTAACGTTAATATTAGTAATAAATAAAATTAATAAAAGAGACTATGTAATATATTTTTATACTTACCTAACAATCTGCTGTCTTGTAAATTGTAATAATTAATATAGACTTAGAAGTTAGACCAATTCAGTACTCTAAATATTACTTGTAGTAATATACTAATACATTAACACTAACAGTTAGTTCAAACTTGATAATTATGGGTAACAGTAGTACTGGTTGACCCCCAGTACCACTGTTAATACTTGTATAACAATAACTAGTAGTACTAATAGTATTACTATTACTTAGTAGCCCAGGTAACACTGGCAACAGGGTCACCGATAACTACTCTACTAGACTATATTTCAGTACAGTTATGCGTACGACTTGTCATAGTAGCCTTTTATACACGATCGTAAATCTAATCAAATTACCTGTTGTAGTTTCGAGTCTTACGAATATAATACATTATTTATAATTCAAATGCAGATGTTTTTAAACTGTTCTCAACCGTTCTCCCTCTGACCATTTTGAATAATTGGACACATTCGCCATCTATTGATGAAACTCCACAGATTTTAATATTAATTTCATTTGTTTTAAATAGTAATACCACTACAAGAAACTAAAATATTCATAACTAAAAAAAAAACTTAAAGTGTGCATGAAATTATTTACTTACATGATTTTAAATTTCAACTGAATCTTAGAAGTTATTTGCATAAGAGTAAAGTATCAAAGTTGCCTCAAATGTGGTATTTTCGGATAAATTGGAGTCAATGGATCGAGCATTAAGTCCGCAAAATAGATTATTTGTTTGTTATTAAGCACAAAGCTACACAAAGGGATATCTGTGATCTGCCCACCACGGGTATCGAAACCTGGTTTCTAGCAGTATAAGTCCGCAGACATATCACTGTTCCATTGGGGGGGGGGCACAAAATAGAAGGATCTTAGTAACTGTGTGCAGGGTGTCAATAATTCAAATTAGACAACAAAAAAAATTTTTTTGAGTGAACATAGTTGTTTCGTTTGTGCTCATTTTTACATATATTCAACAACTATTTTGTCGCAGTTTCATCTGGTCACGATATGAATAAGTGTGAGGGCTCGCACAGCTAAAAACCGGATTTTGATACTCATGGTAGGCACAGAACATTGTGCAATTCTGCGTTTAGCAACAAACAAACATCTCGAAGCATTCATTGAAACTTCTAACCACATTTAAATTTTTTAAAAATAAAAGTACAAAAAATTATACAAAACTTTACTTATTATTGCAAATTATAATAATTTTTTTTTAACAATTCAAGAAGCGTAGAAAGTTCATTATCCTAGTTTAGGCTATAAAAAAAAACAACATTTAATAAATGGCCATACTATTTGTTTGTGTCATTCACACATCGAGAATTTTTAATAACATTTATTTCAAAAGATAATTAAATCATCATATTTAATTGCTTTTGTGTTAATAAATTGCATTTAAGGTCTTAAAAGGACAAGCGTTATCAGATTTATTTAATTTTGATTTGCTTTTTCCATTTTATCTCGCAACAAGGTGAAAGGGCAGGCTACGAAACTACATTGGTACAGTTAAGGGTTTCCTGTGATCTTTGTCTCTTGATACCCCCTTAATAGAAAACAAGCATGATTGTCCGATGTTTTGAAATATGCATATCGTAACTGTTATAGAATGGTTAAAGGCGGCACGCCGCCCTTTGATATAGAATTTATCTAAATAAGTTAAAACTAAGACAAGTCTAAATTCAAATTAACAATTCTGCTTATATTACAGATATTTCATTCAACTAATCTACCTTGTCACGAATACTGCAAATTTCAGCTTTCACTTCTTCTTCATCTTTATTTTTCTTGCAAGGACGCAATTTAGAATGGCAGCGAGCTATATTTCCATCGTCTTACCAAACTCAGAATGCTTTTGTTGTTGTTTTTAAATGGAAAATACAGAACTGGGTATTTTTCATTACTTTAACATCATAAAAGGAAGCTAGAGATCGGTTTTAACATCGTTAATCTTCTATTTTCCTGGTAATAGACTTTTTATTCGCAAAATGTTTCACTAAAGAGAAATATTTTCTAAATGTTTCAATTGGTGCATTCTTATAAACACCCCAGTAGTGCAGAAAAATAATCAATAAATTAATCTAAAAAACTTTGAGTACGTTAATTAAAACTACAATTGAAAATAGTATTGTTTCAACAATTCTATAAAGTACCATAGGGGTACCCTCATATAAGAATTTAGCACTGGCTCGGTACCTCGTAACCATTTTGTGCTTCTTATAGTTTTCATGCTATAACTTTTAAATTAGTAAGCGTATGTTAACGAAATTTGACAGATTATTAATTAACATTACAATGTTTTCATACGGAAATATACTTCTTTTTATTAATTTGTTCAGCAATGTTTTTCTCATACTTTTTTTCACATGTTACCTATCCAACATGCTAAGTAATTTTCATTTTAAGATTAAAGATATATTTATGCATCAGAAAATTTTCAAATTTCACATGCGAAATCTATATAATTTCCACATAGTTATCGAACGTTCCATAAGGAAAAACTTTATGTTTTATCTGTTATTTTCACTAACGAATCACTGCGAGTTCGATAGATTTGACCGATAACGTAACCAACATAAAAAAATTAGAAAATAACCCATATCCAATAATATACACTGAGTGGT